AGATGTGTATAAGACACAGATATATATATATATATATAAACCAATAGATAAAAAGCCTATTAGTTGTATGATTCGAGCCAATGCTTTTGTTAATGCCCATATAGGACTAACACCTAGGCCGTATATTGTATTTTAAGAAGCATATACTACCTGTATCATGACATTTTGCTTCATTATAATCAGTGGTATATCCATACTTTTTTTAAAGGGTGATATTTAGTAACCATTTAGTATCATTGAGTCAGAATATATAACAGTATTCTTTCGTTCAGTTGAATTAGTAGTGTTAAACGAATGAAAAAAATGTCCACCGCTTCTATAATATTAAATAATATTAATATTATATTTATTGTACCACTACTTAATACGGTAATGTGATGCCTGTTTGTCAGGGTTATTTTCTATGTGTATTATACAACGATCATAGAGAAATTATAACGCAGGCTTTAATCAAATTAATATTCAATGGCATGCTAGCCCCAGGTATTCTATGACACTGACCTCTATCGCTTTATGACTGACGCTAGAAAGCTAGCGGAAGTGCTTCATTTTAAGCTGTGCAACTAAAGATGAAGCCTGGTATTATGCCAATTATCTAAATGGTCAAGATTTCGTGTCAACCATTAATCTATTAACGGATTTAACAAATTAATTATTTTAATTTCTTAAATCCTCTTCTACTCTTGACATAACGAATTTCAATCATATCATAAAACTCTTCTACTTAAGATTCGTTGTTAATTTTCATAATAGATTATTTAATTTCTGATTAGATATTTTAATTTATATTATTATAAATCCATCAAGTTTTATTTATGGTTTTCGGCTGAATGCCTCTCTTTCTGTAATTATTTCTAAAGTTGCAGTTGCTACTGTTTGAACTACTGAAGTAAATTTAAACATTTTTAACTTATAAGCAATTATAAGTAATTCATTAACTATCCACTAATTTTGATCATTTGATTATAAAGAAATAAATTAAAAAATGGTAAAAATGGACGGTGCACAAAACGTCTTTGAAAAAAGGGCCTGCACTGATGTGAGGTTCTGTGCAGTATACCGTACAAATACAGAGATAGACCGTCGATATTGGCTGGTAGTGTTTGGCATTGGCTTAACAATTTATGGTGTTTTATGGCACATAGGGGGCCTATGTTCAGCGCATAAAAATCTGTACAATATGAGCTCTATAATCGACCATTATTATTATTATTATCATCATTATTATTATCAATATCATTATCATTATCATTATCATTATCATCATTCATCATCATCATCATCATTATTATTATTAATTATTATTATTATTATTATTATTATTACTACTACTACTACTACTACTACTACTGAAACGAAAAAAAGTTTTAAAAAGCTGATAAGCCTATAACGTTAATTAAATCGCAAGACTAGGCCTCTTAGACTATTTAATCATAAATGTCACATAGGGACTACGGAAATTTGTCCAATTAATTTAAATTAATAACTACGATTCTATCACTAAGATGGATATAAAACAACATAAAACAGAGGAACCATTTGAAAAGGGAGAGAAATTCCAGTAGATTATTGTAATGGCATTATGTACACCGAGTAGCCAGGAAGATGAATCACGTTGTGACCAGAATAGACAAATATATGATCATAAACTCGTGCCTTCCTCCACACAATCATGTTATTTATAAAATAGGCTGTAGTAAAATATAACTAAACCCTTTTTGTCGACCTGTTTTTATTTAGTAGAGCAATAATTTGTAAGATATATGCTTTCCAATTCTAAGAGGCGAGTCACTCATTATTAGATTTTTATTTACTCCCAAGCCGACATCCACAGAGAAGGGTGCGACAGTGTTAACCCGCCCTTAATA